CGGTTTGTGAGTTCCCTGTAAGAAAATCTGTTATTCATATCATTAGCTGTCCTCTTATTACAATTTCGGAGAGTTTGTAGATTAGGTGTTTGTGTGGGACGCTGTCGAAAGCCTTCTTGAAGTCCGTGTGGATGACATCGACCCTACCATCCTCGTCCAGTTTATTTTGTAAGGATAATGGGCAAAGACTTTGAAAACCCTATTGATTACATGTCAGCTCGTTAGAAATAACTGTACACGAACAGTAAAAATATTCGCTATTAAAATACCACTTGATTCATTTGAGTAGCATTGCAACAGAAAAAATACTTGCGGGGCTGTGGGGTATTAGTTCAGATTCAGACTGTCCAGTGCGCAAGTCCACTGCACAGTCGAGAGCACCAAACTTGAAAGGTACGAACGGTTCAGTCTGAAAGCGTGCTGCAGGTCTGAGAGTAAGTGTTTCTGCTCTAGGAACTTCATTGATGCTTTCTTGACTATAGCTTCTATTATTTTACAGCAGATGCAGGTGAAAGCAACAGGCTGCTAATTTTTAACATAAGTGCGAGCTCCATCCCTGTATACCGGAAAGATATTTGCTGTCTTCCACTCGGATGGCATCCTCTCTAATTCGAATGACGAGCGGAAGATGTGTGCCAGCGGTTTGGGGAGTTCGCTCGCCAATTCCTTCAAGAATTTGGCCGGTATATTGTCCGGACTCGAGGACTTTGCTTCTTTGACATTCTGTAGTTCTCTTTCCGTGACAGATGTCGGGAAGAGTTTCGAGTCAGACTAAGGATCAGCGGTCTCAACAGCATTGCTGGTACTAAGACTACGAAACTCTGTTTTTCTAGTAAAAACCCCATGCAAAATACCGTCCCAAGTGTTCGGTTTTCCCGCTGTTCTCAATGATTTCTACACCATTATCATCCTTCAGTACCGCGACCAGTTCCTTGTTTTTCAGTCCACTGTTAATATAGTGAAATAAAATCCTTGGCTTCTGTTCGGCCGGTCAGATAATTCTGGGTTGATACTTCCTCCGTGCCTAGTGGATACATTTTTGACTGCATTACGTCGACTGCGAAATTCTTCGAGATGTGCTGGTGACCCAGTTTCCCCGAATATTTTCCATCTCATGCTTATCGTCCGTAACTGCCTATTCAGGTCCTTAGTTAACCAGGCAGGTCAAATAGTTATTTTTTGGTCTAGGTAGACAACAGCGCCGAATTAGACTAGATGAAATCGTCTTAAACGATCTCCAGTCGTACTCCGGATCTCCCTTGGGCAAACGGCCCCAATTCACGGACACCAATTCGGTCTTCATCGTGTTAAAATCTGCTTCCATATATTAGGTTGACATTCGATGCCCTTCGGGCGTTGAGAGAAGAACGAACAGTCCCATAGTTGCGTAGTATGGTCACTCTTTCCAAGAAGTGCACTGGAAAACACTTCGACGATATTAGAGAAGTCTTTAGTGAAAACTAGGTCAAGGCAATTGGCTCTCTGATTATCTCTAAATCTTGTTGGTACCCTCACATGTTGCGCCAGAGGGAGGTCGAGCGTGAAGTCCACTGGCTTATAGAATGGGATAGGTTTATTGTAGCACCCCTTGGACACTGTCAGTCTCCTGGAGGACGATCCTGCTGATACCGAAGGTTCCGGGTTTAATTCCCAGTGGTGCTAGACAGTAATTTCTAGCATATGAAGAAATACTTAGAACGTACGGAAGTGCTTTAAGAAGCATTAAATATAAAAAGACAACCGCCTCAACGCATATTTATGCGCTCATAAAGGTAGAAATCCCTATGATAAATAAAAAAAGAGAAGTGACAGGAATTAAAGGATGCGTCCAAGGTTTAGTAATAAGAACAGTATCGGACAGCATTTCGTAGGCAACGGTCATATGTTGGACAATCCTACTTATGCCACACTTGACATTTAATAATGTAATGTATAGTGTGTTCAGAATAGTGTATTTGTGGACAACGTCATTTAAAAAGAAGAATCGGAGGTGGGTAGGTGGTCTGGAAACTACTAGAAGGATGTTATGACCGACAACGACAAGGGAGACTGGAATGGCCAATTCTGGCTTGGGTAGGATTGGCTGACAACCGCTAATAAGTCAGAAATCGCCATCCCGGTCTCCCTTGTCGTTGTCGGTGATAACGCTCTGCCTATATCATGCGTTGCTGTGCGGCTGATGGTTGAGCTCGAAAGCGAGAACCTGCAAGGCACAACGGAACGAGGGAGCCCCATAAGAACGATTGATGGGCGCCCATCTACGATTGGAAATTATTGTTGGTTGAAGAATAAGTCCCAAAGGTCCCGGAAGTATTAACATATGGAGTGTCAGAAAAAAAAACAGCTCATACGGAAATATGAAGACTGTTGAGATGCAGTTTTCAGATATCAGCATGATATGTGAGTTAACAAAGGAACGAGCTCGTTGATAGTTAACATGGAAAGGAAGGAGGCTAAAGGGAAGTAGATTCTAGTGAGGGTGGGCAGGCAGGACAGGGATGGAGGTTAAAGAAGTTTGGGTGACTTACGTGGGAACTATAGGCCTTAAGGGGTGGGGAGTCTGAACTTGAATGAAGATTAAAGGAGCTGAGGCGTTTCAGGTAATTACTGTTGGCTAAGTAAAGAATAAACCGTTGGCTGGTACCCGTTGTGTCAAACAAAGAACTAGTTGGAGGTATAATTGGACTTATAGGATTTATAGACAACTTGGCTTAAGAGGGTTTAACAAATCTCAAAGAAAGCGACGGACAACTAAATGGATTGAGCCGCTTTTCATTTGGTGCAAAGTCAGATTCGGTTGTCGAATCATGTCATTTTCATGGAACGTCTCAATTAATTTAACTGGAAAACATGGAGCACTACGTTGAAGTGGCGAGGACACCAGTCTAGGGGAGTTAGACGGAATCGTGGGTGATAAAGGGAGCTACTAAGAGAATAAGTGACGACAACTACCGCTGTGGTTAATCAAGAGGTCAGAGAAGGCGTTGTGAGTTGGCCTGAGTTTGAGGGAAAAGTAGAAGTGGGGAATCATTTGACCGGATCCCAGAAGAGTAAAATTAACTGGCCCCTCAAGGTTGGTAATATCATGGACAGACTGGAAAACGTTCGGCCGGAAAGACAAGGGTCAATCCGAAAAGAGTGATTTAGTTCTCCATTACGTGGGTGTAAGATCATGACGCGGTGCTTTTATCCGTCATTTATTTCGGTTAGCAATGTGACCTGAGGCTATTCGCCCTTCCTGGACTTACTTTAGGCAGTATAGCATTTAATCCAGGTTTCTTGTCAGCACGGATGGTAAAAGACGAGGCACAAATACTTATGGTTCCTGATTTCCTTAGCAGACTGAACCGTAGACCATTTGACTATGCAAAAGTAAAGGCGAGTAAATCGAGTGACCGCGCCCCCCTGGGCTAGTTTCTTGTCGTAAGGGATGTCACATACAAGACGACCGGAGCATACCGGCCCACCTGAAATCGTAAGCTCTTTCATAATTTACACTTTCTGGGTGCAGTTTTATAACGAGGTCGAGGCCCTGAAGTATACATCCAAGTATGCCTTTTCGTCTTCATTGCCAAAATATGTAGCTCGCATATAATAGATGTGCAAACGAAACTCTCAGAAAGAGCTCTCGAATTGTTGGCTCTTCCTGCAGATGAATCTGCCATCCTTTTAGACATTGGGTAGGATAAACTGAAAATCTTGACATGTGTTTAGATGTGGTTCCTGTCTAAGTGGCGAGGTCTTAACAGAAAACGGACATACTTGGATTGGAATTGACATAAGTGCTGCCATGTTGAATGTAGCTCGCGAACGAGGTTGTGAAGGCGATCTAATTATGGGTGACATTGGCGCTTTCATGCCTTTCCGAAGTGGGTCGTTTGACGGCGCCATCAGCATCTCAGCAGTTCAGTGGCTCTTCAACTCTGACAGAGCAAACCACAACCCGATTCGACGAATTAGAACATTTTTCGGATCACTATACGCCTGTCTTTCGCGTGGTGCACGTGCCGTTCTCCAATGCTACCCTGAAAGTAGCCAACAGCTTGACATCCTTCAGACTGAAGCAGTACGTGCAGGCTTTACTGGTGGCCTTGTCGTCGATTTTCCTAACAGTACAAGAGCCAAAAAGTGAGTACGTATGTTTGGGACTGACTAAGATACGGTTGTAACATTTTTTGCCGTTAGCCGAAAGCGACGCTAATTTCTCGCCTTGTGCCCCCATGAGCTTGTTAACCCTCTCACAGCACTTTAATACGCATGTGGTTTCTCCGAATTTCATAATATAGGAGTGAATTGTTTTACTTCCCCAAAAAACTCTTGTCTCGTAAACCGTTAGATGAAAACCTTGTCAGATATGCCATTATCTCAAAACTGTCGACTCCACCTAAAGTTTTTTTTTCCGGAATTTGATTAACTTATTTACTTCTGTCCCATCAGTGTAGCCCTTTCTCGACCAGTAACGGATATGGTGTATAGAAACTAGGTTGCCCTAAACGCATGTATCAGTTGATGCTATTGGTGATGCTTAAAATGGCCCTTTGGGAGCGCCCGCGACGAACCCTGACTACATGACTGGCTTTTGAAGGTCCTTAGAGTAAGTTTAAACTGCACTTGTCCGTCTAGTTTCTAAACCCTTGAAATAAGACGAAACTCAAATAGTATGGGAAAACAAAGTATAGTCCAGCCTTCTTTGATGGCCGGCTGCTCGGAACGATTATTCGTTTACATCTCTTGTATGCTGCTGATGCGACTGTCAGCCGAGATACGGCACTACATATGCTTTGCGAAAGTTTTAGGTGTCCTTCTGCGTGATTTAACGAAAGGCAAGAGTCTTTATCACCAAACGTCCGTCCGCTGCGGACCAGGACCACCACTCGCCGATGAAACACTGTAACGGCCTGCAGCGTTTTAGCGTTAGTCCTGGGTAAAAATTAACTTAGACGCCCTTGTGCTCTGAACGGCTCTTCATGGGCACCGATTCATCTCTACCATCTTCAGGACAGTATCTAAAACATATGACAACGAAATCCAAGTGTTCGAAGTCCTCATCGGCCGTTATGTCCACTCGCGGTCAATGGTTTTTCGCAAGATACCGCAGACTTGCCTGTCCATTAAACGGCCTTAATCTGACGGTCCGAGCTAGCTAGAGACTATAAAAAGTGAAAGGGGCAAGTTATTAAAAAAGTTTCCGTTGCAGGAAGAACGGCCCACTTCCGTGAAACCCAAGAGCGTGCACAAGCTTTCTTTTTTGTCTAAACAAAGGCTATATATGAAATAAATAATGCGGTAATCTAGCGACCGTCAGAGAGAGTAGCACCGGTTTTCCCGCATAACCGCTCTATCGACAGTAATTTCATTGACTGACCCCGTCATCTCTTTCTCATTGAATGCCGCTCATTTCAGTCCATGCTTAATGTACGATGGATGGAGCGTCTCGAATGGTCCATAAGGCGTCCAATTCAAACTAGACTACACTCTCAGTCCTGGCAGGCCATAATATCCGCAGGTTACGGCATATCTTTGAGGTTTGGAAAGTAAACTGGCGATTCAGCCGCGACGTACGGAGAACGTTTTAGTATCCTTCCATGAAAAATCAGCTACTTTAACAACGCGTTCGCGCGGTGTCAACCCGATTAATCGAGTTCTAAATTTTCTTCAGGTTATACATCTCAGTGCAAACTGATTATTTGTGAGCAGAGCTTATGTGGTTTGATTTTGCACCCCGCTTTTAGGTACTTCTTCGTTCTCGACGTCGGTCCAGGACGCAATGTCCCACAGGGCTTGTCTGACGAGTCAGAATCAAATAGCATCAACATCATCTCCCGAAGTCGGTTGGAAGTCCTTCGCGAAGCGCGCACATCTAAACGTCCGCCGAAGAAAAGCACCGCTTGGATAAAGCACAAGAAGGAGGTTGCACGGCAGCGCATGAAAGAAGTAGCTCACGACTCACGCTACACGGGCCGCAAACGACGTCCCAAATTTTGAGTGATATTCCTGAAAATGCACACAACTTTCTGCACATACTTTTCTCTAGGGCATCGTTTTCGATAGAAGTTCGAAGTATCCGACACACTGGGCGGTTTCTAGGGCCAAGTTGTCTTACACGAGTCCCAATATTGGAGAACAGGCCTTAACGATTCGGACTTTACTTCGTTAAAACCCAACCTACAAACATTCCGGCATCAGGGGGAGACTTTATATGGTCGGACCCGGAGTAGTTTCGACTTGTACTGTAAAACTAAAACAACAAACTATCATAGGTAGCTATTTTTTAATATGGCAATGCCCGAATACTGTGAATATGGAAAATAATCGTACCGACGACGGTTGGGGAGCTGCGCTGCACGGGCCACACCGCACTTATGTCAGCGGAGTGGCCGCCACACAGAAACTCGCTATCTGGATGTGGTCGAGCGTGATAAAATGATTAAACAGTACGTTAGGACGAGCACCTAAGCATGCACTGAGGTCATACCAGCTCATATCTGACCTGACCACTGATCTATTTTCGTTGGCTTCAGATGCGGTTGATTATTGCATTCTATTACATCCAGTTGTGCAGCTGACTCTTACCTCTGTAGCACACATTTCCCATTTGCTTTGGGGAATCAAAGTGGAAGACACAGATGCCCTAGCATCATTCACAAGTAGTAAAAATCCGATGAACAGAAGAAGACATTTCTCTAGAAGGGGCTTTTTTCAATAAATGTAGCAGGAAAGGCAGACAGCCTCTCGCAAAGTAAACATCAATATTGTGGTAAAAAGGGACTGTACAAATTTGCTACTATGTACAACCTTACATGGGAGTAGATGTTGCAGTCAGCGGCAAATGGGTCACGTCTGCTGTGAACGCGAGTCATCTTCATCACTCCCTATGAAAAACTCGACCCGAGACTGGGCGTGAGAATAATTGTAGACCGGTGAACCGAAACCGTCGTTTGCCTGTCCATTATCGAGTTCAGGCTACAATAAAGAGGGAGAAGACAGCCGACATGTTTTGTAAGGTTTGAGACGTGCGAAGGTAGCTCGTCACAAGCGATGAGTACCGCTACTGCTCAGGGAATGCGGTTGAGATTTGTGAGGCATGTGCATTACCACGCAGGTCCATAATGCCGCAATGGCAGTACAGGACGACGGTAGGCGGAGATATGAACAGACAAACCTATACCTACTTCTTCAAGTCCCTAAGGATGTGGCGTTCCTTAAGCATTGAGCCGGCATTTAATATACCGGTTGCCTTTAACGACATAAAGGAGCCCTGCGACCTGACCCTCAGGCCTAAGTAGGGCTGACTTACCTCATCAGCGCACAACCCTGTGAGCCATTACTACTAGCGCACCTGATTGTTTACAGCAAGGAAATTAGACGCTGGACCCGCCTCCCCTTACCACACAAGTGGCGAATACGAGTTAGTCTGGGCGTGCTGCCTGAGGTGGAGGGGAGTCTTCATCTGTACGTGTCATACTACTAAGAAAATATACTGACGAGATACAGAAAAGATCAAAAACCAATCTGCTGGGTCAGTTTTTTGCTCTCTAGGGATTTACTAGCGCAGGGGGCCCAGGGCCAGCAGGTGTTACCGTAAAAGCGGGACGACTGCCTTCGGCGCAGTTTTGAACATCGAAGTCGGTGTCTGCACAGAGTTCGCCGCCCTGTTCGGAAAGACTACCGCTGCAGTCAGAGTCGGTCAGCTGGAGATCCTGCGCCACCAGAGTGTCGGAGAGTTCTTTCCCATCGAAGGCTATCGAATCCACAGGAACTCCAGTCGAGGAAAGCTGTTAGAACGGAATAACAGCTGTTTTAGGACAGTGGTCCTTGGCCAACGGTGTCAGCTTTTGTGTTAAAGAACCCAATGAAAATGGATGACTGCTAGGGAGCCCAGACTGGGCTACGTATGCCGACGACTCACTCGGGATCGTTCATCCATGAAGACTTGACTGCAATAGTCCATATCACGTAATGAGATCCGAGAGTCAACCCGACTACTGTCGGGCGAATGTGTGGTTTCATGGTTTTCCGAAAGTTGAGATTCGTCATGTGATAGAGTGCCTTCGTCCAAGAAATCGTGGACAGGGGATGCTGCCTCAGGCGTAAGATCACCTGCAGTGTTCAGGTACACGTTGGAACGCAAAAGTACAAATGCGTGAGAAATAACTTGATCCAAACAAACAAGCTAAAATTTTATTCCGAAACAACCACTTACCCTCTCCGCTGGTCCTCCGGCGCTTGGACTCTGACCCAGAGAACCTGTGAGAAGTGGCTTCCTCGCCAACTTCTATCTCGTCCTCTTCTGCCTCATTCGGTGAACCTTTGCGCTTGCCTCTGAGCCCACCTGACTGTTGGTTTGATGTCTTTAAGATGTCCTCGTCGTCGCTGTAGAGGTCGGCACCGTACCAAACACCAGCGCTGCAGTGTCGCGCTGAACGCGATCGATCTGTGGGATGCGGTGACTCAGCTGTTGCGGTTGGTTTTGGTGATACGCACGATGTTTGCCCCGGCCGCGGGCCAGGTTCCTTTTCCTGACGGGCAACGGATGGCGTTCTTCGGTGAGATGAGGACGCCTTACATGTGGTGGCCGACTCCGCATTTAGCATAGAGGCGCCCTGCTGGGATTGAGAGTCGGCGACCGAGACGTCGTCGAGTCGTCTTGAGGACAAGAAACATTGATTGAGAACTGGTGGGTGATAAAGCACGCCCCTTGAGATAAATAGGGAAGTAAACAAGGCTTTTTATCCCGAGGAGATCGAATTCGAAAGGTACCTGTTGGGTAATTAACGTTTCTCTTTCGGGAGCAAATTGTCAGCGGCTTGTCGCTCATCCAAAAAATATCAAAAAACGAAATCAACGAAGAAAACAGTTAGTAATGGCTTCAAGCGAGATTCGACGTAAAGAGAGAGCTTCACGATCCAGAACACGTCCTCCGAGAACAGGACTGCCGGCATATAGGTGCAGTGCGCTCGAAGCTGGGATAAAATGATGGGGAAAAGCACCAATGCAAGTCGAATCTCCGCTGGAACTGTAACGCTGGGTGTAGGGCACCAGGGCACATGGAGAAAACATTTTAGGAGGGGCAGACAGCCATCACAACAATGCCACTAAAAGTTAGGCAGGCCGGCGTATATTTTGTCGAGTCGAGAGGCTATTAGTTTGAAGAATATAGGCATTCCTGTTTAGTATCCAGGCCCTACTAACAAACCGGATACTAAGGGTTGGAAAGTCAAATGTATTGCCTTACTGGTATACCAAAAGGCACGGCTTTGCAAATTTGACCGTAGGGAAATAAACGTTCACCGGAAGCGACGAGCACCACTTTTGCACGCAGTAGCGTTGAAAAGTGATAGTACAGTGAGGGCCTGCTGGTGATACGACCCCTCAGCGTCAAGCAGGCTAAAGAATGTAGTTCTCGGTGAACAAGGGCGCTAGGTTAGTCAGTCTATACACATACAGTGAAGACGAAGGTATTGGGTTACATCTCTAACCAGTGGTCAGCGGCTATGAGCTTGAAGGTGTAGTCTAAAATACCCCCGAGACAAACTGACGGGATAAAGACAGCATAACGGCCAACTGATGTGACCCTCGGTCTTTAGCAGGTCTTCGAAAATGTCCATGGGCCAGCTATGATATCTTAATAATCAAAAGAGTTCATGTAGACCGGGCATCCACACGGTCAGCCCTCAATGGTTTTGGATGCTGGACTCTGCACACAAAAGACGAGCGCAAACTGGGTGTTTTCCAGTACAGTTTTCTGAAAATAACCTTTTAAGTGAAATGCAACGATCTCATCTGCAGTGAGGCGGCCAGAACTCGGTGCGACGTCGCAAAAATACTTTAAACCATCCAAGAAGGACGGTTGTGAGTGGGACAGACCCTTTTTGTCTGAGTCACGAGTTCAGGGGAAAGGGTAGACCTAAAACCTGGCTCCAAACAGGCTCTGACGACATGAAGAAGGGGGGGGGGTTCCTGGACCTTCGAATGTTCCTGATTATAGGGCGTGGAAGAATAATGACTGCGACACTGCCGAGGCCAGTTAGACCAGGCATGGCTGCAAATGACAGAGGTACGGAGGAGACTTGCTCAGCACTGATCGTATATCCATCAGATTGAGAGGAATATAGATGAGTTTGGGCGCGGTGACTCGTTAGACATTGGCACCGCCTGCCGAGTGTCACACGTACTATCTCAACTTACACAAACCAGGATTAAGTTATTCGATATCGTACCGCAAGCCACTACAAGACTATATCCGGAAAAAGACAATAAAATTCGACTATCAGTCCTGAGGATCGACTTAACCTACCAGTTGGCAAACAGGTCTCTCGAAGGTTCGTAGTCAAAGAAAAATGAGGACTGGCTTACTGTCTAATATTCTCCTCGATCGTCTCCAGGGTGTCAGCATCCGCCTCGAGCTGAGCGTGGGCCGTGCTCAGCATCTTCGTAGCAATCTTGGTCAGTACGCTTTCCTGCCCGTTGTATTTTATGCAGTTTTGCAACAACAAGTCTGCGTCAGCGAAGAACTCCTCCCGACTGTGGTACCGATGTTCCTTTACCAACCGCTCCAGTGTCGACAGGTCCATCGGGTGGGGAATGGTCTTGTAGTAGTCCTACCAGACAGGCAAGAATAACGTTTTAGTATGAAAAAAGCCCCTCCAGGACGGAAGAAAAGGCCTTTCAAAAAGTCGGCAGCGTACAGGGTATCGACGCTTATCCACGGGGAAGTGGAAAGCACGGCTGTTCTCCACTCCCCTCATTGCCTCAACAGCTTTCTGTAGAAGGAAGTTGAGGCTGACAAGGTCGTCCTCATCTAGCAGGGGGTTGACCAGTGACTCTAGACGCATTAGCTTGGCCTCTTTGTGACAAAATTCCTCCATCACATACGAGCACATCTTCTTTGCCGTCTCCGTGTAGGCGCTGTGTGGTCCTGAAGAAAAATAGTTTTGCAAAAAGGTAAATCTCCAAACAGAAGAGCAACATGAGAATGACATCCATAGAAGGCAAAGCCCTCTGGGGCAAGCCGACTGCACATATGACAAAACGTCCATTAATCACCTTTAAACCACAAAGTTCGGTCAAAAGAAGACGAATTCGCTGCGTTTTAAGTAAGTTCGTATTGAGAAAGAAAAAGTAGGCAGACTGCTCAAGCGCAGTGAGGCACGCGAATTTGGCACAATTTTCTCAAAATACAAACACATGTACTCGTTTTTTGGCCAAAGGAACTAGGTGGAAAAAACTCAGCAGAGCCGGTTAGTACTGGCAGCTCTTCGAGGAAAGGACTGAGAAACCGACGGTACCTACAAGCTTTACAAGGCGGAGCGGATGCGCACTGGGCGTAGCTTGCGACGGCCGCTTCCATATCTAAGACTGGGGTTTTCCGAAAAATTTTACCTTGAGGTCAGGGTAGATGGCAAAAAAACCGGTAAGTCGGTATCAGAGGGAGAAGCTGGAAATGCATCGGGAGTGATCGCCGATCTACTCCAAATTTCAGGACGGAAGACGGCTGTCCCGTTTTGCCTTTGGCTCCGGTCTAGAACCCTCACAGGCGGGGAAATGAAAGGTCATATTTCGTCTCAAAAGCAGGACTGACCGGCAAGATGAACTTGCATAGGAAATCAGATAACCCCAATAGCGGTTAACAAATCGTGGGGTCTAAGTGCAGGCCCCGTAGTCAACTGAACGCGAGATAAAACCCCGTTTATTTGCAGCCGGCAGTTGTACTATGGCTTGTTGACAAGGATAAATAAGTCAGAAATGGCAACTTCAGTCACCCCCCCCCCCCCTTTGATCAGCAAGGTTTCCCGAAGTAAATTCACTGAATGAGGTTTGGAACCAAATTTAAACTCTTGCGGGATGGACCAGTCTGGCTACTGAAACGGCCAGACATTAAGCGCACAGATAGGCACACCAATGCGAACGACGATGAAACACGATGACATTGGCCGTGCAGCCGGTTGTCCGAGTTTATAAAAGAGTCGATCCGCGCATGCGAGGTAATTCTGGCCGGAGTCCAGGATGGAAGAGGGGAAAAGGGGCGGCCATAGCAAGTAAGCTTTACTGGAGAGCATCGAAGTCAGTTATTGGTGCAATTAACCGAGGCTAGAGGAACCATGGTCTTCGTGCAAAGTTTTTACCCGGTCAACTATCGACCCTCAGCTAGAAGTAACTCCTGAGGGCGATTTATAAATCAACTTTTCTTCAGTGGATGGCTGTTGGGTAAGCAGGGCACTAAAGCCCGTTCAACCACTTTCACAATTGCTGGCTGGCCGGCGCGTCCACATGTGGGGCGGTTAGTGGGACGGACTTCGGCGTATATTGGCTGTGAAATAGGTAAGCTGTCGGATCTAATAAGTAGTCGCGGATCAAAGGCGACAGTGCCGACAGGGCGCGGGAGGCTGAAGTCTGGCAAGCCGATTGCTTCACATCGATAAGCTCGATGACGACACTGTGGCACGGCGATAATGAAGCGTGATTAAACAAGTTTCGTAACCAACGCTGCCTTGCGACCAGTTTCTTCAACTAAAAGGCTAGGGGAAACAACGTCGAATTGACAATCCGAGTGGCAGCTGGGGAGTCGTTTGTAACCAAAAGTCCCGGGGGGAAATCACGGAAATATCCGCGTGAACCGACGCGCACCGCGATCCCAGTCCAGCGATGAGGGTGGAGAGTGCCAGCCGGACTACTTACTAAGGAACGGACCTTTGGGACAAGAGGCCGGAGTGCCCGGACGCCCCTCGACCCTATTACTCAAAGTACGTCAACGCACAGTCTTCATCAGTAGAATATGGATACCCCCTGTCTGTAAGAAGTTCGAATCCCCGACTCAGTCTCAGGAGAGATGAAGATCCTACGGGAAAACTCCCGATTCACCCTATACCATGCGACTCTTCTAGTAGACACGCTGTGGAGATCGCCCTCTAGCAACATGAGAGTCATGCACTCCTTGCATGCGAACCAGTCACTGCTCACGTACGACTGAAGGGCTATTTTACGCACACATCTGTCGTCTCCATGTACTCACCGACATCAGCTGCCGATTAGTGAGGTGAAGAAACCTATTTACAGCTGGAGGAACGGGTTAGAGGACCCCTTCGCCCTGATATACTGACTGTTGTCGGGGGCTGAGCTGCGAGTGGGCTGGGAAGCTCCCCAAACAGTCGCTTTATTGGCTGTTTCTGACATGATTGGCCATGCGAGGAACGTGAAAAAGTGTTGGACTTTGTTGATCAGAACTGACTATTTGACGCCAATACGTGCGTCCAGCATCGCCACAAACATCGGCTGACCTGGCATTTAAACAGCGGCTACACGACCAACCAGACTGCATTCTAGCAGGTTCAGGATTGCGCCGTTTGGTTCATGGTAGCAGATCGATGCGTGATGTTGAAAGTGAAAACGCCTAGGGATCAGAAAGCATTTACGTCCACAGCCGTCTGTAAGTTCATCTACGGCGCGGAAAATAACTCGCGCAAGAAGCCTTGATGTCGCAAAACTACGAGAACCCAGCACAGCCAAAGTCCTGAGCAGAGAAGTGCGATGCTGCCTCATCATTCCGGGCGACGAGGGCAAATAATTGTCAATGAAGTCCTCAGTCCGCGAGGGAACAGAGAATTCTCGTATCCACCCCGCGGTGCCACAATGAACAGATCAGCTGAGGAATCTAATAGTTGTTTGTCCAGATATAGTTCGACCTGGGTCCCGCATGGAGCATTCATTTCACCAATCCCGAGCAGATGACGCAAAATGTACACAGCTGAAGTGGCCACCTGCATGGAATAGGCCCCAAATGTCGGCGACACGCGAGAACTCTACCAAATTATTCGCAAACATCGCCTTAAGTCCTCTATACTCAGTGACTTCGTTTGCCATGTGATTGGCCACTTTGCTGCTGAAAACTCGGCCAAACTCAGGTACTGTGGTGATGGCCACCCCATCACTGCCCTCCTCCCCTACAGCCCTACCTATCCGTCTTGTGCTATGCCACGTAACCCCCCGTCCCGGAGAGAAATGGCTAAAGCAATACTCAAACTGAGGAGAATGAATTGCTCACCGGATCGGGGGACTTTTCTAGCTGACGTTTCGAAGAGCTGGGGCTGCTCTCCATTGTCAAAGCGTCAAGTGAAGAAATCGATCAGCATTTTTGAATAGACCGGAGGCAACCATCAGGCGTCTGGTCATGAAACCGAAAGACCCACTGCCACGGCTAGAAACGTCTGGAGTCGTTTATCGGATCTGGTGCAGTTGCGGACAAAGCAACTACGTCGGAGAAACCGGAAGACAGCTCCGAACGAGAATGGCCGAACACGCGGCAGCGGTGCGCAGAAATGACGCCAGCTCTCAAGTTGCGGCTCATTCGACAAGATCCGGCCACACATTCAAATTCGATGAGGCCGAAATTCTCGCAAGAGGTGACAACCGCGTGAGCCGGGAGCTACTGGAATCATGGTTTACTGGCCCCCAGTCCATCAACAAGTGCAACGATCTTCCCACTCCATACTGCGTGCTAAAATTTCGCCTAGGCGGAGTAACAAGACATGCGGGGAGCGCAGAGGTGAACACTTTTCCCAACACCGGGGTCGGTGCGTCAGATGGTCGAGCAATCATCACGCCAACATTCAACGCACGTGATGAAATTGCAGCAATTATCGACTCGAATGTCGGCCATCAAGCAGTGATCACACCACGTGCGACGATCTCGGATGAAGGGGGGAGCCGTGAAAGTTCATAGGTATGCGGTAGCATGGCTACTGCATCCTATAAATACCGCAGCCCATTGTGCAGCAACCACCCGTTTCTGCATTTTTGTCTCTGATGATGGATTCGAGTAGGAATCCGAAACGTCAGGCTAATGAAGCTCTTGTCCCGGCGATCGTGTCTCCTTCTTCAAGACGTTCGATCATCCTTGTTTGAGAATTATCCTTCCAGTCAAGTACACTGACATGCCTCGTATGTGACAGTCCGTACTTGCTGTGACAACATCGCGAGAATATCCAAGGTCATCCATACGAGAAGACTGAGGTATTCAGCACGTTCTCCGTCGCCCGCCCCATAAGTCTGGTGCCGACGACCTGTTGCTCTGTTGACCTGGAGGCGTCGAAGAGTACGTCAACTCGAAACCTGGTTCTTGGACTTCCGTCGCTGGAGAAGATAGTGAGTTGAGCTTTCCAGACCGGCTGCCGTAGATTGTCACGCGTACAGGGGTACAATGCGCGATAACATCGAGGTCGGATAGATGAGTCATGGTCACAGCCACAGCAAGTACAAGTGGATGGCACAGGTAGACGGCAGGAAGATTCCTGGGGCTGACACAAGACACAAATAGGGGATGCAAACGGAACTAACCATTGAATTTGCGCGAGTTGTCGTGAATCAGTCGGATGTCCTTGAGAAACTCTTCGCGCGTCGAGTACTCATTGGTGTTAATTTTCATGCGAATCTGGGACAAATCCATTGGATTCTCAATCTCAGAGTAGTAGTTTGGGAAGTCCTTCTCCTTGACCGGTTGCATAAATATCTTGTAGCCGGTAACCTGGGACAGTCCCTGAAGACAAGAAGGTGAACTTTACTGAATGATACTACAAAACAGGACGGTTTTACTTGAATTTTCATATAATTGTGTACCGACCACAGCAGTTCTTGTGAAATTGGTGAACTTGTGCGGTCAGCATGACGAGGGATCACACGCACTTCGAATTTGAGCCGACAGAAAATGAGAAATCCTAGTGGCAAAAAGCTCTACAGGACAACTGTTCATGCTCAGATTAAGATAGGAATTTAAGCAATCTCCATGTGTCAGTAGTATCTTCTACTTTGTAGTCTTAAATCATTTCACGTGTACCCAAAGTACGGAGGCCTTTGCAGACTACCCTTCGATATTCTTCGTGATATTTCGGTATCATTCAAACTTCTAAGCGCGTCTGGCCCTTTTAACGATAATTTTCGGTACAAGCGCTCCTGTTCCACTTCTTAGGCCTGAAGATTTCTTCGCGTCCGCATTCTCCGTCTTACCACTTATCATTTTCCCGTGTCATAACAGGGGCGCGTCCGTTGCATGCTTCCTTCCAGCTGTTCGTTACCCCATCTCTAATCGACAACAAACTGCGACGGTGCTTCATAACGACCGGGATGACCAAATTATCCAATAGGTGCCTTACTTCGCGCAGTCTGATCCGATGGCTGTGAGGCTCCTTCACTTAACTCGGGCACGGTTTACGTCAGCGCAATGGCAATCAGTAATTCTATCTCTCATCCGACTGTTGACGTTCAGAGATGTACCAGGAGACCGGAATAGATAAACCGAGGCCTTGGTTGTCACCGTAACCGTTCAGTTTTTATGCTACTACCTGTTTTTAAAACCAGTGTGCTTGAAGTGTCCTTTCGTCAAAAAGTTTCCGAATAAATGCGCGCTTTCCATAGCAAGTAGTTCACAGGTTGCTTTGCGGCCGCCGCCAACACAAGAGGACTTACAAGAGGTGTAAAAGTCCGTCTGAATTTGTCTGCAATTGTTCAGGCTATGCACATTTGCTGATCATGCAGCATCTTTCTAACGAGCTGTTCTCAGCAACATCATTGTGCTCCCAACCGCTGATAAATAGATTTTAGGACAAAAACTGATGTACAGCACTCGGACTTGGAGCCCTTCTGTTCGAGCTTCAATTATAGTCATGATTACATAACCACTGGTAGCCAGCACCCGGAACGTTGAGGAATCTTGGTTGCGCATGTTACTCAGATACCAACCTATTTTGTGAAGGATAGCAATGCCGATAACCGTGATCGACGACATCGAGTGAATCACTGAATACTGTGCTTGATCTTGTCGGCTGTCGGGGAGAAGTTCCGAGTGTAGCGTTTGATTAACCGCATGATCACCTACATTTCCTTTCCCTATGGGGTCAGCTTAGGCAACCGGAGTGCAACTTTATTTATTTGGCATGGGCCAAATGTCGGAGGCCGAAGAGGCTATGACATATTTTACTTCTGCGGAGCACATCGATCGACCAAGTCGAACGCTGCTGCAAAATTAAGCTCTTCCTTTTCTTGGTGGTGCGTCTTAGGAGGAGCGAAAGCTACTTAAGATACTCGTGAAAGTGCACCGGCTGAAGTCATAAAGCTGCTGCCATCGCAGTCGCGATATCCTGTCTTGACTCTTCTCCTGAAGAAAGGAGGTAGAGCAGTACCGCTGCAGTCCAATGGGACACATTCGTAAAAGGTCTTTCCAAGTTGCTCAGAAATAACATCTTGTAGACTTCAACTGACAGTCTGCCATCACCCGCCGCCTCATTGCTTCGAAATCGTTGGATCACTAGTCGAGTTTGGGCAGCAGACGGTGGCGCACACGCATAGGGTGGTTTTAAGGGCACAGCTGTGGTGAATCTTTCGCTGCGCGTATACAGGAATGGCGGGCTGGCTATCTCGCTAAAGGGACCCTTGGAGCATGGTACTGGCTCACTCAGTTAAGTGGCGGTGATGCCTCCTTCCACTTTGACGGTCTAACCTACCGTTTAATTGTTCTTCAACGAACACCGAGAGGCAGATAACTGTATCTTACGTCACGGACAGGAGACGCTTGTTCCAGGGCTGGGGTCGTGTCGCGCCAGCATCGATTTTAGTCGGCTCTCATCGATGGTATTGCCTGACGATGCGGTGTTCGGCAGTTTGAGTCTCTGGCAGTAAGGACACGCACCGGCGGTAACATTACCTCTCTTTATAACTACCGACACAATTTCTCTAAAACCCCCTCTCTGCTAGTTTCCAATGGTCATACTCATCACTATCAATGGCGGCTGGAATTGTCAGAAAATTGGACCAATCTACCCGACTGCGAGAATGATCGAACCTGTTTCAGTTTACGGTTGATGAGCATGCATCATGTGTTTGGACCCTGAAATATTGGCCCCGGGCCCCCCCCCCCCGGGCCGCGAATCCGAATGGGAATTCACAAGAATAAGAGAGCTCAGGAAGAACAACGGTCAGGACTACTGCTTGGCCAGTCAGAGAGTCATTTCTAACTACTGACCTGAGGGGGACAAAAAGGTCACGGTGAAGGACAACTGGAAAACTGGACAAAGTCAATTCGCCGGTTCGGTTAACCTTAGTACAGAACTGAAGCCCGATCGTAAAACATATCGGCCGAACCACACGTTACTCTGCAAGTTTAAATAAGGAGGGCAAGGGACATCATCATGCAGCAATCACCGCCCAGTTCCAATTATCCTTAGGGTCTTGGTGTTACACGGTTTGTATGGCACGGACAGTGTCAATAGAGTGCGCTTATGAAATCTCATTTTACTGTAATGCAGGCCCAAGCGGGAGCCCAGGCCGGTGTTTTGGCATATGCGCTAAAGTACAAAAGAGGGCGTCGTGAGGTGTTGCCGACAAGGTGAGACAAGATGGGCGCTGGAAGAAGGACCTAGAGTTTACCTTGTAAATGCCTTCGAAAATGTGGTTGATGGCTACCCGGGGATCGATGCGCCGCCGGTTACCGCGGTGTTTCATGGTTGATGTGGGATAGTCGTCATCAGCGGCACTAGCCAGGCTGCCCTTGCGTCGCTGGCCTCCGCCGCGCTGAAGGTTGCGCTGAGCCAAAAGGCGACGTTGGGCTGCAGCGGCGGCATCGGCTTCAGCGACTACCTTACTCGCCTCGTCCAGTTTCTCTAGAAGTGGTCGATTGATAGTCATCTTCAAGTCCTGGCGCTTTTTCGCTTCTAGATAGCGCATCAGATTAGGATGCAATTTCAGCTTGGTACCCTCCACCTGTAAAGGAAATTATCAAAAGGCGCCACTAGTCAATTCACTATCCGGCCACAAAGAGACAAAAATAACGTGGAATAAGAATATTGGGGGGCCGGTCGCTGGCTGGAAATGTTTCTAACAGACCTACAAGAAGGGCCGAATTTCAAAAATCGTGAATGCAAAAACTATCTGTCCACTTTGGGGTTAAACCGATCGGTCAGTCAGTTTTCCTGCCAAATTAATCAACGGTAGGGACAGTGAGGCAGCAAAAGCTTCAGGCAAAAGTCGAAAAAAATCACTACGACTAGGCCTATTATCACTCCACCACCGCGTGAGTTCTGGTCTACAACGATCTCTCCCAACCGTTTAGTATTCAGTCTGGAATTCGACAAGGTTGTATCCTACCGCCCATTCTGTCCAACTACGCTATTGACTGGATTATCGGGAAAGCCCTACACGAAGGTGACGGTGTTGAATTTGCACCCGGACACCGACTGACAGATCTCGACTCTGTCGATGATATTGCCCTACTTACTTCAAGTTTTGGTTAGCTGCTGTCTATGGTGTCACGTATGAACGAGGTAGCTAAAGCGATCGGTTTATCCATAAACACCGGGAAGAATAAAGTGTTGTCAAACTGCATCCCTGACCAGGAGAAGACACCTCTCGAGATCGATGGCTGTCATGTTGGAGAAGTAGAGTTTTAAATGCCTCGAGGCGAGGCTGCTGCCGTATGGACAGAGTAAGGACGACATTGTCTCCCGAACTGATGCTGCCGACGGGTTTCCTCAAGCCTTAGAAAATGCCTATGGATTCGACGCAACATCTCAATCACCACTAAGATTCGCGCGTAGCGTGCATCTGTCCGGTCTGTCCTCCTCTATGTTTGTGAATGCTGGGCTGTGCGCGTGGAGGGCGAGCGAAAACTGGAGGTATTTGACCACCACTGCATGAAGACCATTCTTAGAGTGAAGTATACTGACTTCGTGTCAAATAAGACGGTCCACACTCGCTGTGACAACATCGTAAGTATATCTCTGGCCATACGGGAAGGGCGACTGAGGTGGTTCGGGCATGTTCTTCGTCGTCCACCTCAGGAGCTCAGTTACTGCCCTCGATCCGGCACCGTTGGTCCGGCAGGCGTCGAAGAGGATGTCAACTCAAAACCTGGTACGACACAGTCCATCATGACACAGAGGTGGTTCTTGGACCTTCAGTATTCGGTCTCCGTCTTTGGCGAAGAGAATGGGTTGAACTATCCAGATCTGCTGCTGTGGATGGCCACGCGTGGAGAGGTACAGTTTGGGACATCATCGAAGACAGCTAGATCAACCGTGATCGTAGCCGTACCACGCACAAGTACTACGACAGGCGGAAAATGCAAACATCACTGTTGTTGGACTCAGCGTTTAAGACGACGGCTTGTTTTTCTTCAGACGACTTCATTAAATTACCACGATTAAGCAAAGAAAAGGCACTTTCGGTTAACCAAGTACAGTTTCCTGCGTTGATGCGGAAAAGTAATCCCTTGTAAATGGACGAAGTGGCTCAAGGGCAACTGGTGCTAGTCCTGCCTGCCCAGCGTATGACGAGTAGAGCTGCAGGAGCGTATAATTTTCGGGCAGAAAATAGGAAACGGAGAATTTTTGGTAGATACAGGTGCAAACTTATGGCTATAAACTTGAATAGTAATTCCGCGTGCTGGTACAAGTTGGACGCCCCACTGAAAAATCGAAAAAAGTGGGTCGCCCATTGATTGCCTTCTTCAGTTTTCGTCGTAAGCGATGGGCTTCATGGTAAATTTCTAACTTCTGAGACTGGAAGGAGATCCGATTCACGGATTCGTGTTGCACGCCTGAGATAAGGGCTAATCGAAATACATGCTGAGAGGATTTCGGGTTTCAGGCCAATGAAGCCTGAAGACATCTGGCTCCATATCACACAAACAGCGTACAGTGAATTTCTCTGCTCCCAGAACAGAAATGGGTGTTTTCGCCTGTGTTTTGGGGTTCCGAGTGCAGAATCCCCGCATGAAGTCTCGTAACGCCCAGCAGTCAAAATCGAGACGTCGTGCTGACACAGACCAGGGGGGACTGAAGTGACCATTTTGAGTGTATGCGTTGTCCTCAGCCAACAGGAAGTGGACCCGTAGCTCAAATAAGAGAATACTCGACTTAAAAATGCTAGATGGCCAATGGACTCGAGTCCGAGCCTTGAAACAGGTCTTCGACTGGGCTTAGACTGACCAACGACTCGTTGACGTAAGGCCGCTTGTAAGCACGGGCAGATAAAGGGGCACTAGAATGGCGGCGTATTTTTTGGCCCACAGCTGGCCACCTACCGGTAGGAGGGGACTGAGATGTGACGCCGAAGTCACCGATACAATGGGGAAGAGATGAAGATCATTCAATCTAATTACTGACTTATGAAATAATGTCAGTTATTCCGCAGTATCTGATGGATTTCAACTCAAATATTCATATCAATTTCGGACCGCGCCTGAAAAAGTCTGTTCTAAGAGATTTACTCCAATTTCGCGGATTAATTTCCCTGGAAATTAAACACGGCAAGTTGAAACTGGAGGCCACATAGCAGAAAACACGGGGAAAGTTGGGGGACCCACCGATGAGCCGAGCCCCTCGCAGTTGCGTCAGGCAGCGGAACAAGATCGGCGAAACACGCGTGTCTGGGCTTTTAGCTAATACCTGTGTTGTTAGTACAGTAAAAATGATTCCACCAAATAATGTCTCATCAATTATGACCATCAAGATTCAGTTTGTTAGAAGCACAGAGCCCAGGAAGCAATTATACAACATAAAATGGCAGCTGTCTTCTCACTGCTAAGATTTCGCTATAATGGACATCAGAAAGTTGCGCCAACTCACTGTAGTGGCATTTTCTTCCAGTTCTGGGAGGAAGCTGTCGATGCGGTCTTGGTCACCACCGCCCTTGGTTGAGTCGTCAGAGAGATGGCCATCAGCGCGAGCACTGCCGCCATGGTGGTGATCAGCGGCATCAGTACCGGCACCACCCTCCTCACCCTCCCCAGCACCACCACCACCTGAGGAGGTCCAGGTCGATTCGGCGAGTAATTCGGCTACCGACTTTGAAATGAGCTCCTGTGCGGCGGCCACTGTCTCCCGCTCAATGTTATCACCCAAATGCGAACGCAAAACAGTACCACGAGCACCAGAACTAGCGACGGTACCGCCAGGACGGCGTTCTGTGGACACACTGGCTGGCGGCAGTCCCTCGCTTCTTCCGTACATTGGGCACTCCTTATTTGTACGCATGTGACCTAAAAACACATGAAAACGAGGCATTATTCGCGGTTACCCAGGATTACTCACGGTCTGAATGCGGCATGTGCGCTATGCACTGAACCTGAGGGGATATAAACTCGGAGTCCGTGCTAGCGACAATCGAATGAGGGTGTGCTTTTGCAGTTTGGAGCAGAGTATGGGGCACCATCTAACAGTCAAATGGACTCTCTGGACGAAAATGCATCTCGACAAGGACGCCACGAGATGGTCACTGCAACAACAGGCGGGAATAAATGTATGACTTCAATCATCAAACCCAAGGCAGCACAGCACCCAAGGGAAAGCCTGCAGGTCACGAACTTACCTGTCTGGCCACAGGCTCCACAACGCATTTTCAGCACTAGACTCGACGGCTTGTGTCGCCGCCGCGAAGAAATGCCGACTCTGTTCGCGCTAAGGAGGCGGCCGCTGGCATCGCGCAGTGGGCCCGAAGCGCCAGCCCTGGAGCGTATAAGGTCCTGTTGCTTACGTACGCGGCGAAGTTGATCCTGCAGACAAAAAGGGAAGTCGCAATTTACCTGTCAATTACACATAAGCAGAGTAACGTGCGGTCAAGTGGATAGATTAGAAATCGAGGTGCTGCCGTACTGCCTTCTCCAGCAGCCATTCAACTATCCCAGACAAAGATGGTTACAAGATGTTCTGCTGCTTTAAGGCAGTTTGGAACAAATTTAGCGCAATAATACGCCGAAAGGGGTGGCCCCGGGGAAAACTGGATCCGGCCTGTAGTGACAACGGTCGTGAACAGACGACTATCAATCAGGTCACAGAAGCGTCCTGTAAACAACATGAATGATGAAGAAGTATTATCGTCAAAGGCAAGAGAGGCCGAAGTGACCATTCTTGACTTATTGCCGTCGACAGTCAGACGTGTCGCTGCCGCAGACCGCGTAAATCCGTTGTTTAGAATCGGTTCGAGTGGGTCATTGAGCTCAATTACTTGGGCGACCGGAAATATTCCAACTGTCGTGGATGTGGCATTTAGCACTATGGAATAGTTCCAGGATGGGATACAGGCGTTGAGTTTTAACTTGGACCCCCGGTACGGAGTCTTTGCAGACGGTCGAACAGCAAAGAGCAGGCAGTAATAGACAAGTATTGATGACAAGGATAAAGGAAATGCGAGGGTCATTGTAGATTTTTATGACGCTTTATAGTATCTTCTTAAAGGCATAAAAGAATATACGATTTTCCTTACACGGAACGCATGCAGCTTGTGGAATTCAACCGCTAAACGCTAAAGCAACGGCTGGTCAGGCTCAAAATTCTTCGGGAATGGGGAGACGTTTTCAAAACTAAATATATACTTTTTGCGGGTGTAAAATGTGAAGACAGTGTGATTTTCTAGCGAACATGCGAAAGAAAGCATATTTTTATGCATGTTTTCCATAAAATACATTAAAATCTATAGGGACATCGAAAATGCATGCATGCATGCTGCATAAGTAGTCACTTTTTACCAAGTACGATTTCTGCCGGAGGTCAGGAAGAAGTGCATTCAAAAGCCGACACCTTGGCAAGTCTGAAATACTCTAGGATTATGCTACCTGATAACAACTATTACAACGTCACCCTTTTAATCCTTTTTTAGTTGAAAACGTATTTCAGAATTTCGGCTAACGTTTCATGAGATCAGCCACGCACTGTAAGTGCAGGTGTGGCGTTCCTGCAGAACAACAGAGTCTAAAAAACCCGAGTAACTGTTGCATAAGCAGCGACTAGAATGTCTACATCCCTTATCTAGTCAAAACAATCTAGACACTTTCCGTTGTAAAATAATATTTATCGAAAGGAGCTAACCTGCAGTCGACGTTTTTCCCTACGCTGTTGTTCCCTGAACTGGTCATCAGAGCCGATGAAATTGTGGATGAACTCCGTGTCCCGGGTTTGTCTGATTTTCAGGTAGATTTCAACGACCGGGGACCAGGGCACCAGTTCAGTACGCGTGTACTGCTGTCCGCCTGTCGAATAGGTGCGCACAATACGAAGCACCTTTTTCTGTGCCGAGGGGAAGATTGGCGGCAGGTCGAGGATTTCACCCGCTGATGTGGAGTTCGCCTCGTAGACAGTGGATGGAACGGAGGCGGCTGCGGTTGAGGTAGCTGCAACAAATTCTGCAGCTGGCGTCGATCCGTCTGGTTTAACAGAGTCGGTTGGCTTGCGGTTGCGCTTCAATGTCTTCTGCGTTAAAAGGAAGGAAGAGAACCCCGTGGAAGTTGTGAAGTGCGTCTTGGATTCACACTCGAATCCATCGTCAAAGACCGCATCAGATAAGCGTAGAGCTCGCACAACTCCATCCCAGTGCAACTGCAACAGTTGTACAAACACTACCCATATCCGGTGCAGTCTCTGATGATGTATTTAAGTGTTAATCTGAAACGCTAAGCGAATAAAACTTTTGTTCTAGTGATAAAGTCTTTCGGACTTTCGTACGGCCACAGCTGGAGTTCGCCATTCAGGCGTGGAAACCGTGGACCTCTAAAGATCTCAGCATCCTCGAGAAAGTTCAGAGGCGGGCAACCAAACTCGTAGGTGGACAGGGTTCACTACCCTATGAAACCCGATTGTCCAATCTCGGTCTCTTTCCACTGAGTTACAGACAGCTAAGAGGCGACCTTATACAAACATTCCGTATACTGCGCGGCCAGGACTGCTGTCTCGTACCTACTGATTTCTTTGAGTTAGCGACCACAACGAACCTCCGAGGTCATCCACTTAAACTACGAGTAACTGGCGCCAAGCTGGACACTCGGAAGTTCTTCTTTTCAAACAGAGTGATCGAGGCCTGGAATGCTCTGCCTGCAGGTGTCGTCATGTCCACCTCCGTCGAGGCTTTTAAGCGCAACTTGGACCAGATTGCCACCAATCGTCACAATGCCACCTGACAGATTGTCTAACATTTCGTTCGAACAGTGTATTAATGTTGTTATATTACTTCCTATATTTCAGTAACGTTTGTTTTTTTAATATTGTCCCATGTCTGTTAAATGTGTGTTGGCATTCAATTCGTCTCCCTCCGAAACTGAGATAGCACCAACTATCCCTAGACAGACTACTGTACAGCACATTTAGTAACGTTAATGTTTTTAACTTTTGGAACAATTCGTTTATCTGTCTGGCTTACAAAACGTTGCCAGTCTGAAGAAACTCTGTAGCCGTTTGATGTTTCAATTTTCACATTTTTTTATTGTTCGCCTCCTTGTAACAAATAGGGAGTTCAAAGGTTTAACACCTATATTTCCCTCAAATAAACTGAACTGAACTGAACTGAACTTCTTTCCAGAACTCACGTTGTCGTATGTATCGGATGAAGCATTTGATGACTAGACCAAAAATAGATTACTTACTCCAAGTTCAACACTTCGCTTAAGGTCCTCCCACTCCGCCTCCTCCTGACGATGTTTCAACTCCTCGGCCGTAATTCGATTGGCCAACATGGACTCAATATTGCGACTGGCCGTGTCATATCGGTTCCGATTGGATGAAGGCAGACTGGAGAGGCGGACACCGCCAATAGCGTTGCTGCTCGAAGTGGCCCCCGAACCAGCAGCTGCCGCACCGGCACCTTTTCCGCTTCCAAAGGCGTTTGTCGTCTCCTCCTCGTCCTCCTCATCACTGCTCGGTTCCTCTTCACCCTCATCAGAACTCAGCAGCTCTGTGTTTGACAAAACGCGATTTTGAAGGTCAAAAATACGCTGACACTCCTCCCGGTAACAGCGAATCTGCTCAGCCATTGACAACCGGTTTCCACGGGCAAACTTGGCGGTGCTCTCCTCTTCACCTTGTTTGGCTCGTTCGGTGGAAGTAAAACGCACCATATCTATAATTTCCCAACTTTAGGAAAAAAATCCAGAAGGGGATAACAGTATCATGAGTATGGTTTTGGAGGAAATAGCAAATTGTGTCTCATTAGAGGCAAGACTTACCGCTTAAACGTCTTCAAATCAGCTTCACTTATTCCGAAGGAACGCAGAAGAGCACGAGCGTCACGAAGATGGAGTTTTCGTAAGTCAGCGTCGGTGCCAGTAACAGTGCGCTTGTCTTTCAACAAACCACGGGCCACTTCCCCGCCTGACTGCCGAAACAGAGCGCCCGGTTTTGCAGAGGTTTTGGAGTAGGAAAAGGCCTCACCACAGCCGGTTGGATCAGCCGGCCCGTGCAACTCGAGGAAACAGCCGCCCCGCTGGGCAGCAAGGTAGGCGCGCGTCGTGTTCCATGGTGCAGCCCGGACTTCATCCTCCATTTTAGGCTGAAGGAGGAGGAGGAGGACAGAGGTTATGTCAGGACGCCAAACTGCACGCGAATTCGTCAAAATTCTTCCGAAAAAACTTGTTTTAGACAATTTTCATGCAATTTTGGATTTCTCATGCGAAGTCTGTGAAATTTATCCGAAAGGAAAGTAACTTCCGTCTAAAAATTCTAAATCTGTCTCCGTTATCGTAAAGAAAAATGACGCATAAATTTCACCCTATTTCCAGCTGTTCTCGAAATCTGGATTTGTCCGTCCCCATGGCTTGAAATAAAGCACGTTTCGTCAGCTCAAGTTACTCGGCTCCATCGTACTGTGCTATAGACAAAGTTACACTGGACATCCCAGTCCAGTTTTTATGCAATGAAGTTAACAAACGAATACAATTAAGGTGTCTACTTCAGATATCGAATTCAATGTGTGCACAAGGATGCTGGAAATTGTCCTAACTGTGCAACGTTAGGGCAAGCATGAGGAGGTAGGCGCTGGTACGAGGCAAATTTCATGTGAGGCCGCCAGTGGTCGACATCGGGAGGTCAAGGCTAGTCAGCAGCAAACATGCAGGCTAAAGTTCGTACGGTGAGCACAATGATAATGCGAAGCAGGCGACAAAGCCGATGAGTCGGGCCAATACAAGGACTGGGTCGGCGCTATCGGGAATGCGGGCCCAAAATAAATGACGACATTCGGAATGTGGCGGCAAGCCTAATTGCATGCGCACGCCGTGCTGATTGGGATTCGGGCTGCCCCCTTGTTGTCTCTTTGTGTAAAACCATAGTCAGTTGTACGTGGAGCACCAAGGGGTGTGGTGGTACGCTTGGACGCGGGTTTTCGCCGTGCCAGCCACCTGCTCCCTCTTCCGCCTCCAGTCTTCTTGACTCCAAGCCCAGGTGGGGAAAGAGGCGGAAAGAGTGCGATGGGTGCTGTGCAAGTCTCCTCTCACTTTAAGCCAATTCACGCGCAAATCACCAGGCAATCCACTACCCTTATCTGACTTTGTCTCTGATGACGAATTCGAGTGAGAATCATAAATGTAAGACTAATACAACTCTTGTTCCATCGATCGTGTCTCTTTCTTCGCTACTACTTCCTGGAGTCCTCCTCTTCGATTCTATTAACAAGTCACCGTGCCTGCTCTCACCTTGCTGTGGAGCACACGGTGGACGTCGTCGGACGCGACGGTCAAACTGTCACATCGAAATACGAATGGGTGCATCTCGATCCATTAGATTTCCGAGGCGAACAAGCCTCGAATGGGTGACTGAGGTCTCCTATAGGCAACCGACTGCCAGGCATGACCGGTAGCTATTCGGTACCACAAAAGTGGTGAATCATTAGTTGCCCACCTGCCCTTCCTTTTCTTCCTCCTCTTCCTGATTTTCGTCGAGGACAAAGAGTGACTTCTCACCATAACCGGCATCCTTGAGTCGTAATTCAGCCGCCTGCATGCTGAAAAAGGCACATACATCTTCTGGTTGGACGAGATAACGAATCTCCTCTTCAGAGGGCAGGCGGTAGTCCTGCCGGAGGACCCACCAACTTGCATCCGAACCTGAAGAAAATGACAGAAATTGGTAACGGTAAAGTAAGTCCTCCTGGCAAAAAGGCTGAACATGGAGGATGGCGAAAGGGGAGAAAGAAGTGACCACCAAATCCCTCCCGGCCCTTTCGCAATGCGCAGGCATTGTCGTTGGGCAGAGATCATCAAATTCGCCCAAGCTGGAGGCCGCTATTAAAAGCCCTGCCTTGCATAATACTGTTTGAGTGCGGCGTTTTACTACATCGTTGGATAATTAGTGAATTGTGGCCAATACTATTCTTGTTAAATAGGGAAAATGTCAATGGAAAAAGGGTCAATTTCGTAATAGAACATAACAAAATTCCGAAATGGAGGCCGTTATCAATTAAGGTTTTTGAGACACCAAAGACTGTTATACTGCTGTTAACTACCCCCCCCCCTTCTCCCACCATAGAAATATCACCTTGCACGTATTCCTGATCAAGGGAACAAAATTAACGATGCGTGTCCCTTTCTTTAGCTGGGAGGAATTAAGCCTGTGCGATCCATACTTTGAAATCTCGCTCTGCATTGGGCAAACAGGGCTGCTGAACTTCAGGTCAGATTATTCACGAGTACCGTTACATTCTGAACATTAACTAAGGACTTTTCCTTAGCAACTTTTAGCACTTACGTTGGACATACGACAACACCCTGTTTAGCCAAGCGGGCTTGGTGAGCCAGCCTCTTGGGGGTCGTAAGGTAGTTCCTCCGACAGGTCATCAACCGTTAGTGGGACATGCGGGCAAGCTGGACTCCTAACCCCAAACAGACTTACTTCAGAGATGGCGTGCTAGTGCAGGGAATTTAGTTACTGACTGGCACGGGTTAGTAAACACTCCCCGCAAGTCATGCTCCCGTCTCTGTCGCCTGTCCTGAATGGAGGCAAAAACAGTACTGTTGGAAGAAGGGAGGCAGTGGACTGAAGATACTGGGTCAAGCGGCGTCATCTCCTCAAAATCTGCGGCTTAAAGAAGTGGCATTTACAACAGGATGATCAACAGCCTGCCAACAGCAAATTAACGAACTGATGTGAAAAAATTTGATATTTGGTCTCCGTGATCGACAGAAAAGTACGCCACAAAGTTTATTATCCCTAGAGCATAAGTTTTTCCAGTTAACTTCTATACTGGTAAACTGATATACAACAGACGTACCGGTGCGCTTAAAGTCGGCACAAATTTTGAGGCGCTTGCGAACACTGCTCTCCGAGTGATTTGGGAAGGCAGATCGAATCTCTTCCATCTTGATTCGTTTTGGTTCATCTGTGCTCCGCAGAAAGAGACGAAGAATATAGACCTGGAGGAAGTCACGAGCAAAGTTGTTGGCGCGCTTAGAGTTTGGACCGGGAACCTCAATGAGGGGTACTTCCTGGCCAACTGTGAAGGCTGCGGGTGCCCGACGTATCCAGAGACCGTTACGGTTGCGCACAACAAGGAAGAGAGTTGAGGGTACCTTGTGAGGATAAACGGGGGCACGAAACATGTTGTTCTCGAGGCTCTGAAAAGAAACAAACGAATGTAATGACGTGAGACGGTTGTAAGAATGAAAGTAACTGCCCAGCGGACATTGATGTAGTAGAAATGGATAACGGCAGCAAAACCTGAACTAACCTGGAGACAGCCACCGGGTCTTACGACGCCGAGAAAGGGAGAGTCAGTGCTCCCCACATAAACGAGCGATCCATAGGTAAAATCCGGAGGCGAGTTGTTTGCAGCCGGGTCAGGCGAAAGAGAAGGGTCGCGAGGGTGCAGTGGTCGATAGTAATTCACCAGACGGGTTGCCATCCCAACCTTCAAGCAGAGTAAAAACAAGTTGCAGGTAGATAACGGTCCAATAAAAGCCGAACATCTACACAAGTCTATAAACCTTTAACTGGACTGATTAAACAAAAAGTCTGAATTACAGTAGGTGGTCTAACTCGTGAAATGTCGTGGTCGAAATTTGAGTAAGAAGTACGTCATACATTTGGTATTGTTATTTGCGTTTATTAAAATTATTTGAGACGCAGAAGGCCATTTACTGAAGAAGGATTCATCTCGAATCAGCTTCATCAAAGCAAGATAGACCAGATTTGGACAAACTCGGACCCTTTTTGATATCCGGATGATTTCCTACGCTATTGAAATTTGCAGATCAAAACTTCATGTTTATGCGCATTGTACTATAAACGAAGATTAATATAAATAGAGAAAGTACGAAATAAATCCTGTGTGAAAACGAAAAATGCGATCTTGCCTCTATGAGAATCGGGCGTGAGTGGGTATGAGAAATTGCAATAGTTTCAAGAAAACGGGGACGAATTCAGCTCATAAAATTCATTTTTGCAAATTTATGGCGATCTGTGCTATGAAACTTAGTAATGAACTTGTTCGACAGTAGTTTGTTTCAACACACTGGGAACTACTAGGCGTAAGCAGATATATATTGCGTACGCGCGACATGCCGCGCGATATAGATGTCCACGCAATGTCTTTAAGCAGTCGATTACGAAAGGATACGGAAATGAACAGCGGAAGGGTTTTCGCGTGAGTCGTTAGCAAGTTCAGTTCAGCTCTAGCAAGGGAAAAACAGGCGAACGCCCATGAACCCCCTATTGGTTATAAATCGTCTGAGAAAGGCACTGATAAGTGGAAAGTTGAAAAAGAGAATTTGTACATTATTGTATGCAAAAGCAGACAGGTAGTCAAAAAATTGTAAATATGAACGGCTACTCACGTATTGTAAGTAGTAACACATGTAAGTTGTGCGACGCGGTATTTTCAAAACTTGGTAGAACCGTAATCCGAAATAAGCAGGGTGGACCAAAACGGCCCGCAAGCAAGACGACGATTTTATTCGTCGTTCACAAAGACCATTAAGACCATTCGCTGTTTGCTACCCACACGTGCTTCCAGGCTCGCAACAATCATCTGACATGGTATTTAAATGACCGTCATACGGCCCAGTCATATTGACTACATACTAGTCAGATCAAGATTCCGCAGCTGGATTTACGATAGAAGATCGATGCGTGGTGCCGAGACCAGTAACACCTCTGGGTCGGACCATGTCCTCGTTCACACACACTTGAAAGCTAACCTCTCATCTGCGCCAAAAATGCCACGTCCTAGACGCCTCGATGTCGCGAAGGTCATAAGCAGAGAAATTCGGTCCTGTTTTATGACCAGAGCATAAGAAGAAGGCAATAACCAGTGCTCGTCACTGAAAACTTCAATCTATGGGGCAGCTGATAAAATCCTTGAATATACCCAACGACGCCGCAGTGACTGGGTCAACTCAGAAGGCTCGAGGTAGATCAAGTAATGATGATTCCTTCCGCCAACTTCGAAAGATGAGGGCAAAGTCGGCCAGGGATGACCGGAAGCAATATTAGGCTGAAACAGCGACCTCCATGCAACAGGCCTCAAACGTTGGAAACACTCTGGTGCCCTGGCCCCATGAGGTGATTGAATAAACGTGGAGAGACGAAGTTGTTCCTGATGACTGGGGTTCAGGCATCCTAGTACCTAGCCTCAGGAGGGGAGACAGGGCATGATGCGATAACCACCACGGCATAAGCCCCATCGAAATGGCTGCAAAACCTTCGCGATTGTCCTTCTTAGACGATTCCAGACTATGCATGACTCTAGGACGCGGCTAAACCAAGCCCGATTTCGTTCTGGACGTGTATGGGCGGACTAAGTATTTACACAGAGGCGCAGCCGATCTGGAAAGCTCGACTCACTATCTTCTCGAGCAGCGGCAGTCCAAGAATCTGGTTTCGAATTGACGTACTCTTCGACGCCTCCAGGTTAACAGAGCAACAGGTCGTCGCCAACACCGGACTTATGGGGCGCGGGCGACAGAGAACGTGCCCGAATTACCTCAGTCTTGTTGTATGGATGGCCTTGGATATTCTCGCGATGTTGTCACAGCAAGTACGGACTGTCACATACGAGACATGTCAGTGTACTTAATTGGAAGGATAATTCTTAAACGACAATGATCGAACGCGTCGAATTTTCGTTCGTCCACCACACGCACAGTCTAGCATTCACAACTGTACAGGAGGACTAACAGGATGGATGTCCGGTAAACGCAGCTGGAATATCGTCCTTTCCGGTTGCCTTGTTGTTGAACAGTTTGAGTATTGCTTTAGCCACTTCTCTCTGGAACGAAGGGGTACGTGGTATACCACAAGATGGGAAGGTAGGGCTGCAGGGGAGGTGGGCAGTGACGGGGTGGTCATCGAAGCCGGAAGCGTGTTCGAAGTACTCACGACAGTACCTGAGTTTGGCCGAGTTTTCAGCAGCAAAGTGGCCAATCACATGGCAGACGAAGTCACCGAGTACAGAGGACTTAAGGCGATGTTTGTGAATAATTTGGTAGAGTTTTCGCGTGTCGCCGACATTTGGGGCCTGTTTCATGGTGGCGACAACGTCGATCTAATGGTTTTTGTGGTCATCTCTAGCCAACTTTGTTGCCATTCTTCAGATTTTGCGGAAGAAATCATCTGTAAGGAGCCTAACTCTAGCTGTCTTAGCAAACAACTGTGGGGTCTATGGGCTGATCAAGTAATTGTGGAAATTCTGAACGAGTGCGGGGATGGAAGATAGCGGATTTAGGAAAGAAGTACAAAGTCTCCGAAAGTGAAATCCACATTACGGAGGCTCACATCTTATTCCTGACGGTAAACGTTGGGAGTTAAAGGTCAGAAATCATCATACGTACGAGGGTCTGCCTTTCTAAATGTCGACTGGAACAGATGCGCGGCAGCAACTTGATAGAAAATATATGGACGCCCTGCGCGGGGCCGGATGAAGTGCATCGTCGCCGGAAGCCGTTGAAGTTTGGGTGCAAAGCCAGACTGATGTCGGCTGAACGGAGAACAGTGCGCACTTACATAAAGCAGAGGAGACTGGGTGTTTACCCTAGCTTTAAGGGTAATAGGTGTGACAAAAAATTAAACGATCTTTGGGTTCAAGAGAACCCAGTTTTCGCAGACTCGGTTCCCACGTGAACGACCAAAGAGGCAGATGAACTTTAGAAAAGCAGCCAGGTAGAGAGTCTAAATCCCAGCGTTCGGTCAGGACTATCAGGCATTCCTGAACAATCGTTAAAAAGCGGATAATGTGGAAACTAGGGAGTAAAATGCACGACGTTGACTGTTCACTTTTGCACGAACTGGTAGGAACGAGCACCACTAAGTGAAAATTATGAAACCGGGGATAAATCTGGATCAATACAACTTGCCAGTTAACCAAACGAAAGGACCCTAGTGACTGACTTTAAAAGTGAGTACTTAAATCCGATTTCTCCAATAAAGCTTGCCTGCATCATAAGAGGCGGGTATTCTTCTGAGTATTCAAACAGGACAATTTCGCCATCACAACCAGTGAGGTCGCTGGGTGTGCGCATGAAGAAGATGTCCCCACCACCGGAGGCGGCCTTTTCCTCCTCCCGCTCCTTCATCTTCTTTTGGATGTTTTTTGTCAAGTTGACCACAGGCACGGGGATGCCGTACTGTGACATAGTGCCCCGCACATACCTACAAATTACAGACAAAACTTTCGAAGGCAGACAAGGGGCGATAAAATGACCGCAGAGAAAGAGAACGTGAGACACTCCGGAGGCTCTCCGAAAACAAAAAAAGACTATAGATTCGGAAAATTGATAAACAACGTGGCAATCTGGACTATTTGACGTATGAATTCGAATTCAATTACCGTAGCAAATGTGTGTAAGTACCAAAGAGGATAGGACGAGAAACGCGTTCAATGGTCAGAACAGGAAGTTGATTTGACATAACGGCCCTTTATGAACAGTATCCGACGCAAAATAGTGTTACGTAAATATTCTAAACACTAGTTAAATCAACGGCGATCAAGATTTATCAAGTGACCGACTGCTTGCTCAGGCGGCTAATTGCGGAGTACGTCGCGGCTTTTGATGTTCATCCCTTGGGGCAGCCAACTCAAAACGCCTCTGGGACAGCACTCGAGGGCGTACTTAAGGAACTGAAGGTATTGCGCTGTTGGATTGTCGAAGTGAGACAACAATCAGCAAGGCTGCGGTTTGGTCCCCATCGACGCTACTGATTTCCGATGAGGAGCTTGTCGCAGAGTGGGTCAGCGTCGTGCGCCTTCTATTACACTGCACTGGGAGGTAAATAAATCGGCCCAGGTAGACATAAAGGTTATCACATCTGGGGAGGGCTACTGACCGTTTAAGTGGCACACGATGGAACTGACGCAGACGCAGGGGTGTGTTGAAAGTTGGGAAGAAGGGCGGCCAGAGTTCCACAGCGGGTGTGCTGTGTTGCAGCGGACCGCAGCGTGCCAGACATCCAAACATGCCACCGGAGCGCATAGCATAGAACTCGTCATTGGAGAGGTTAAGGGGATCCTTGGGCGGAAGACCCGACGCGGCCGCGGCGGCGGAGGCCATCGTTGCCGCGGTTTCGCTGGCGCCTACCTCGTCGCCATCGTCTGAGTGCCAGTCACCTTCTGCCAGGAATCCGTGCTAAAGTATGGATGGCACGGTTCGACTTTGCATAAATATGGTGAATTTTGAGCAAAAAGGTGAACTTTATCTTACAAATCGAAGAAATGCTCGCCTGCGATCAACTGGAAATCCAGCAGAGCCGCTTTGCTCACAGAAACTGGCCTTGTGATAGATCAAAAAACGTTAGATGCCTTCTAACGATGAGAAGACACGCAGGACCAGTTGCACTCTTTCCACTCGCGTCATTATTTACTGTTGAGCCGAGTCAAGACAACTGGTGAAGTGGTGGTCTCTCACTTTGCATGGACTAAACTCAACAGACTCGGATAGCTAGATGGTGAGAGATAACAGGAAGGGTACGCTGTGAAATTCCATTGCAGCCTACCGCTTAGTCCGGCAGACTGAATTTAGTAGAGTGGGAAAAGCACGAACTTTATTGGCGTGAGGAAAGCCGTAGCAGGTTGGCTCCACTGGATCTTCCCCCCTAACATGTCCGACGCAAGACATTGGAGATGCGATCGGGCGCAATGGAAGACGCTACCTAACACCTCCAACTAGCGCGTGTCGCACACCTCTCTGGCCTCGCTTAAGTTTGACGAAACAGTACAGTCAGTCTTGAGGGGCCAGTTATTTGCGACCTTGTGCGACTGAATGCTGTAACAGTGAGGAGTTCGATTCATCCATGCGTCCTCCTGGGGCTCCCAGTATGACTCCCGGTATAACTCCAATTGGAAGAGACAGTTTGGAGTTTCATCGGAAACTATCAAGCGAACGCGGAGTAAAGTTCTGGGGACACGATTAGTCAGGTTTATGTTTATGCAAACATCTACGCCGAAAGTTATTACCAGAAGAACGCAATTTTTACAGCAAGAAGCTAACGGCATGTAGTGCATTTAACAGAATTAGAAAATAGCTTCTCCATGTGGCAGTAAAGAGTCATTTTGTGATGAAAAAGACAACGCGCTACAACATGCGCAAACATTCCGCAAGCAACTGCGCCCAAACCCTTTTTTTACTGATTCAGACTTAGTCTCCAAGCCGTATATCATTGGAAAGTAAGGAAAGGGTTGGTCAGATACTTTAGGAAGATTCCTCACAAGAAGCTAGTTTGTGCCAATATCATCGTCGTCATAGGTAGGAAAAACTACTTCGTTTTTTAACTGTAGGGGTGGCGTGAACAGCTGATGTTTCCTGTGAATTCGCCAATGCCTTACAGGTACGCTCGACTTTCACACACTTTACTTTAGCAATCCACCCACTGATCCCAGGTTATCCAAACCTTGGATTTGGCATGACTGGCTGACGACGGCTAATAGGCCAGAAATGGCCATCCGGTCTCTCTTGTCTTTGTCGGTATTCCTGCCTGCATCAATACTGATCTGTTCACAAGCGCTAAACAGATTGAGTGTACCATGTATGGACTATCACGCCCGCTGATCTAGGCAAAATAATAGTATCAGAAAGTAGCCAGCTATTACATGGCAAGAGCTCAAGCTGCGCCCCCGTTAAGTTCGTGAGATCGCGGAAATCAATAGTCTGCTCGATCATGCCCGTCCTTCCTAGTCTCCGAATACCGATTGTTTTCAGTTAGCTTTAAAAACAGAATGCTAGTGAGGAGATGGATAAAGATGCAAGAAAGCGACTCCTGTCACTTACCTTGCCAAGAATTCGTTTCACCTTTTCAGCGCCCTGCGCGGCCTTGGCTAATGCACCGGTCAGCATTCCACGTGTGGACGCGGGTCCGAAACTGACATGAAAACTGGCTCGATTGATAGCACTCTTCTGCTGTTGTTGTTGTTGCCCTGGATGTTGTTGCTGTTGTTCGGACTCCCCTGTTTCTCCCGAAGGTACTTCATCTGTTGAACCAAAGAGAACTGCCCGCGAGCGACCACTTATAGCAGCCACTTCGTCATCATTGATGACATGATCGATAACGCTGATCTCGTCCTTGAGATCCAAGGTGAGCAGGAAAGCGGGTTGGGTGCGAGCAGCGACGAGCGGATCGTATATTATATCCCAACGCCAGCTGTCGTTAAGGATGTTTGCATTTTCAACCGGAAAAAAGGCATAGGGAGTGTTGGAGGCAGCGACCGTTATTGACTGAACGGCGGCTGCATTTTCAACGCTGCGAGGCATGCGAAAAGTTCCCGCGGTTGTCTGATCGGCTCCGACACCGGCAAGGGCTTTGTAACCGAGGATCCCAGGGTACTTGCCTTGATAGGCGTCCTGTGGGGGGGGGGCGTTTGCAATAAGAACAATAAGTCTAAGAACAGAGAAATAAAGGGAAACTGTTCTGTTTCCAAAAGCGGGATTCAGACAAAAATAACCACAAGTAGTTGTGCAAATTCAAGAAGGTAGGCTTGGCGAAGACGAGTTCAAACGTGCAAAGTAGTCATCATATGCGCAAATAGACAACGAACCCGTCACTGCACTACCTGAGATAAGATCGAAGTATCGAGGAGGGAGAGTTATACCAAACGACCTCACTTACTCAAGACAAGGACTCACACAGGTTCACAAAAGAAGTGCTAGATTAATTCAGAACACCGACGAACCTGAAAAGCTGCCATAGTGCGACAATGTTGAGATGGGATCCAGCCTGCGAAAGCAGCATTCTGTCGGGCGCTAACAGCAATTTTCGTTGAGCTCAGTTGGGCATCGTAGATGATGTCCTCTTCCCACTCCATTAATTGATAGGGCAAAAAATTACTCTCTGAGGGCGAAAGTTGGAGCCTGGATTGCCTCGCTTCTTGACAAGCTATCGTTTGCAAAGGACAGTTAGGGGCATGGTGTGGCACGGCAGGACAGAACAAAGCAAGCTGGCAGGAGGAAGAAAAGCTACAGCGTACCTGCCTCTTCACTCGGTTTCTTAAGTCCGGGTTCGGCGAGTGCTGAGCCACCTGGACTGGGTGACTCTAAATTCTGTGCTGAAGAGACAGGCACAACACTCGGGGGAAGTCGCGACCAAACGGTCCATTTGGCTATATCAGCATCTTCGGGAATATCCAGCTGATCATACCAGTACTTCGCGGGTCCAAATCGCCAGGTGTTACACCTGAAAAAATCACTTCGTTACTTAGAGATGGCATCTGTGTACAGCAAAACTTTGTATTTGAAGGACAGGTCCAGACTATTCCAGACTGTTGAACATTTAAACCCGTTTGTCCCGCCATTTGTGTAACCCAAATGATAAGTGGACCTGGCTGGGGTGGGGGGGCAAACGTACTTAAACATGCCGAAGCTGAAAAAAGCCATTGATCCAAAGGTCCATCGGCCTGTTTTCTGGCGTGGCATAAGAATTGTTCGGTCTAATAGGCAATTGTACGAAGTATCTAGTATTCCTGTAAATTAAGGGGGCGGGAGCAACGAGTAATCTGTTGCCAAAACTCAGAGCCAAGAAGTGGAATGCAAGGGCAAAAAGTAATAACCACTATTATTGGCCCGGGAAAGGGTGAGGATGGCTTAAACGAAACAAGTTACAGTTTGTCTGACTAACCACTGTGTCAAAAACCACCAGGGTAGGTGGGAATGCTCAGAAACTTGCTTACATAGACCAGGAATAAAGTTTTCTCGTAATCTGGATACCTCACCATATCCGTCCATCCCAACGGCAAAGCCGATCAAACTGAGACTTAATAAGGGCAGACAGTGACATAATTGAGCACAATTGAGGGAAATAAGCAATGCCTGTGAAAACTTATGTACGATAGGGACTAGAGGAAAGCTTGACGCCACATCAACGATTGTGTAAAACTGCACCCCCTGTCAGTTTGACTTCTACTTACCGCTGGTGTGGTGAGGAAAGGGAGTGAAGTCAGAACAGGTCTATCTCGGAGGACTGGCACGTTGGGAATTAGGGGCCAGGCCATGTGTAGAACTCAGACGAGTCGCTTAGCTTTTCAGCTAACGGACCCATGGCCACATCTAGGGAATTAATTACATGCTGAGAAGGTAAACTTCGCGCTAGACAAACTCAGTCACAAGTTGCCACTATGCCATCCCAAGGACAGTGGTGGCACTCGTTCCTTTCGACGGATGAACATTGTACTACGTAGTAGTAATATCTGCTGATGTAGACCAGTTGCAAATAATAAACAGCATTTAATGAAGCAGTAAGTGTAATTGCAAATTGGATGCATTACTCAAAATCGTAGTCGTAAATAAATTCCTTGTCTCCCACCCCAAACAGGGCATAAAAAGCTCGCCCAACGACATTGCGTAATTTGGCATGAAACAAGGCAGACTTTAAGTGAGCTAACAGAGACGAAGTCCGACAAGGTTGAACTTACATCGACTGTGACAAATGATCTTCAGCTTCCGATTGATGCCCAGCTGCAGAGCCAGCGCCTCCACCGGCTGCTCCCGAGGTGCCTTCATGGGAGACCTTTGCGGAGGAGGTCAGTTTGCCCTTTTCAACCTGACTGTTGCCAGCTGACGATTGGCGGCCACTCTCAATTTCGCTCAGTCTTTCGGCGAAGGCGCGACGCCACCAGGAGTTGTCGGCTCCAGCCAAATAGTCAGCGCCAGCGGCCGGGGGCCTTTCTAGCTCCCTCATCTCGTCTAGGTACTTGGCCTCATCGAATTCGGACTCCAAACTAGGCAACTCGCCCAAGTCAAGCAGATCTCGGAAGATGAGGTGAATTCTTCCAGCAATAGAAAGAATACGTTTTATCTTGTGCATTTGATAGAAAGTAAATAATGTAGCAATAGCACACAATTTATGCACTGTCTTAATAGTTAAAAAGATCCGAGTTAAGTTCGAACTGCTACCTATTTGTTTTATGATCGAAGTATACTGTATAGCTGCCGCCAGCAAGGGTCTTCATACCAAACGATGCCGCGGCATGAACTGAGGTGGAGGCGCATCGCAGTTCATGGGGAAAGTTCAATCGACATAGGGACAAGTGAATGGTCATTTATGGTCTAGTTGCTGTAATCAGCCAATGATACCCTGACCTCTGGGAGCACGCTCGGAATTCGTAATCGTCCTGCAATCAGAACAGATTGGTGCGCGACACGTATGCAGTTCGTACAACTCATCTGTTGCTGCGACCACGCTCGCAGACCAGGACTTAGGTGGATCCAGTAAGCTTGGATGTGAATACCTCAAGTACCTTGTAATAAGGCTGCGTCGACATCCTAGGTTAAAATCGAAAGTACAAGTCTTTGGCAACGAAAAATCCAAAACAGAATGGCACAAAACTCGATTTCGAATCGCAACGAAGTACACCTGAACATGAAACGGAAGATGTATCGAAAAGTAAAGTTCCAGTACAGGACAGAAACATGTGCAGTCTATGAAAGCCAGGACAGAAAACTAGATGATTTCCGCCTTGAGTCTACCGAAGTGACTATTTTAGGTCGACGTCGCTAAGAGTGCTCACAGGTTGGGTGGACGAAAGCGTTGTTACAATAGTACCCTGGATACCTCGCCCAGGCTTGTACACATTAACCCCGGAGGATCTCGGAGTCGGCAGATGCAGTGAGATGTTGCAGGAACTGGAGCCGAAGTTAACGAGGTCCATCGTAAAGAAGTGACCAAAGCGCAGGAAAAGGCGCAACTTTCGGACACCACGGATCAATACTGCAGACAATCAACACTTACCAACAAGTTCACACTGTTTACCGATATTCAGAGCACGCATTGAACTCGTTGGGGGGTGGAAGGACAAGGAGTCTATTGCCGAGCCCTAACAATGAAAATCTGGCGATAAAAGACACATACAGAAATGTCCAGGGCTGGCCTGAAATTGAGTCAATCAGATCATGCCCTTAAGTTGCAAGCATGTTGACTGGACTTCTGACTCATTTAGGTGGCTGGGGACACCTCCAATCCTGCCGGTAGCCGGCACAATATCAACACACGCACGCCGCGTGGGCGGGTGGATGTGGTGGGGCGTGCGAACGAGTCGGTGAGGACGGCTTCTATTAACACTCCCCACCCCCATCATTTGCACCACCAGCGATGTGGACTCAGTTAGAACCTATCCCCATTGCGACCACACCCTCGAATCCCACATCGGCCTGGTCGGTTACTTTCAAGTCCACTGCACTGCAAACAACGAACCGGTGCCTAGAGCCCCGACACACACTCACGATACTCCAGAGAATTCGGCTATGTGCAAATACAACAGCGGAATTCGCCAACCCATATACCACAACAGAAAACACTGCCACCACCGGCTCCGTAGACACAGCTCCCCTTGCTCCTACTGGTGCCGTACATGTTAATAACGTTTTGGCCTATGCAACTGAAAATTCATTCTCTCGGTGAATCAGCGCATTCCTCCCTAGAATAAACCGGACGCGTTTGAAATTGATAACTCGGTCCTCCTCAGGACTGATGGTCAGGCTGCAATGGTTCCTTTTTAACATGGCCTTTTTGGCATTCTCGTCTTTGAAATTCGAAACGTCCTTGCCGTAGCCTGGTATATGAAGTGGGAAACAGATCATTTGTCACCCGTAAAAAGGCAACTTAGGTTTGCCAGTCACTACGCCCGCGCCCACCTTCGGTTGTCGTGACTTCGTCTCGCCATCAGAACAGAGTGAATGATAGAGGAGAAAGTGTGGTAGATACTGCATAAGTCTCTCGCAATATAAACTAACTCACGCGGATGTTACCGCGGCGACCACTGCTTGAGCCGCGTAGTGCGAGTCGGCGCTTGTGGCAGTGAGACAGTCGAGTGTGAAATAAATTCCGGTGTCGATCGGAATCGCATAATATCGAGTGGATTAGAAGGCGCTTGACTGGTCGATAAACCGGAAACGGACCGAATTCTAGTAATATTAATATTCCGGAGACAAACCACTTTAACGGAACTTCAGAACAGCAGCCGAAGAAAAGGCTTTGAGACGGTTGCACATTTATGAAGCTTTAGATGGCTTTTAGGAATCGATCGTCATGTATACCAGCTTACCGGTCATTCAAAGAGACGTTTGGAGGTGACGAGCTGAGACTCTTTTCAGGGCGCTTTAGAGGGCTGTAGGTGCGCAGTGGGTGAGCAAGCCTAAAGAGCCGACTCCAACGCGGGGTACCAGTGGCAGAATAGTGAGGAAAGATGGTGGTGATATCGACGTTGGCGTACTCCGGAGGCAACAGATTACCCAAAGGCGTGTTGAGTGTCGCAGTAAGACAGGTATCAACAGGGGAACAGGTACGTGGTAAATGTGGGGATCCGTCAGAACTGGAGGTAGAATAGTCTATTCGTGGCTGTGGCGACAGCCAACCATGCCGAGCACTGGGCGAGCTCGTAACAGAGGGGGATGGGCCCTAAAATCAAACCAAAAGGACAATCGAAACGGTTGACGCTATGGGCACAGGAAGAGGCTGACCACATACAAGACTATGAGCGGTGAGTATAGGTTGCAGCAAAACATTTAGCTATCGAGAGGTGGAGGTCAGAGGCCTTAGCTCTCTTTACAACTAAATAAGAGGGCAAACTGCTCAAAAAGCCATCATGCACTCAATTGGGTGAGTCCTTTTCGGGATTGAGATCGCATCAATAAAATACGACCGGTGTTCCCGTACTGAGTACGGCATTGAATAGCCAACTATCTGCAACGCGACAGCTGTGACGTTTTGCTGCGAGAACAGATATATCAGGGCGTGACTACGATTTCGCTGACAATGGGTCAAAACGAGTTTAAAATACGGACTCTCCATGAAAAGTCACCCCCATACTGTATTTGTCTTCTAGCCTGTCTTCGGGCGGCTTGTTTGATCATGTAACTTGTCTCATGTACACCAATGAGTCGCATTTCCTCGGGCATTGCTTTAATAAGATTCGGTCAAAAGTATTTGACTTCGCGCACACATACACGGGAAGTGGTCACCGGCTGATCAATTAATGGGAGACAAATAGGCTATGCCGATCTTTACTACATAAATCAAACATCTGCTGTCTAAAGGACAAATGAATTATGAGTACTGATGTTAGGTTAGAAGACTGACATCAAACAAAAGCCAGAGTTTTAAACTAAAATGTATTGGATCATATGGAGTTCCAAGGAAGTGTTACCGAAAAAAGCATTTTCTTTATACATTTCGATTTCTTAAAAGTTTTATGGAAAAGCCGAAACCAAAAGTAGTCAATGAAGCTTGGCCTAAATTAAGGGGAGTCAGAGGCAAGCTTGATGGTAGCTTTTAGTTGAGGAGAGCAAGCGAGGTGCAACTCCTGCAGAATCTACCCAGACTTACGATTTGCTAGCAGCAAGTGTATGAACAAAAAGATGTAAATGGCAAATCTTTGAAATAGGGAAACGGGGGACATAAAACCAGGAGAAGTTGGCTATCTTACCCTAACCTGCATTACTTTTGAGGCCGCAAGTGGAGCCGGATGTAGAGGTGGAGGCATCATGGCGGAGGCCAAGTCAGCAGTCTCGTCTTCAATCTTTACTGACGTTTGAAAGATAATTGGGGAAACTCTTGGACCAACTGGCGCATCGTTAACGGGAGATGTTTTAATGTCGTCAACGATGGAAGACGTAAACACAACAGGGAGCTCGGAAGCGCTGGCGGTACTGGTCTCAGCAGTAGTGACAGCTATGGGTAGCTGTGTGTCGGAATGAGGCGAGCTAGAAGGCAATGGACTTGATGAGTGATCCTCATGCGACGGAGCAGGCGAGAAACCAAATAGTCCAGGCTCCGGCAAAACAGTTATCGGAGCAGCATCAAATTCAGCAGAGGCAAGGGCCGAGGTCGAAGTGGCTCTGAGTGTAGGATCCGTGGACGGTGATTCAGCAGACGGGTTAACTAAGGACTGCTGTGAGGATATGAGTAGGGGAGATTCGACAACGTCCGCCTTCTGAATAGACTTCTGCGGCACCTGGGGCTTGATACTGGCTTCCAGCGACTCTGCAGAACCTAAGTCCACTTGTTTGGGCTGTTCGTCATAGTCATCCTGTGGCAAAAATGTGGATAAATAGCTAGAAATGAGCTATCGTTAGTATCATAAGTTAAGATAAATCCATGCAGAGAAATGTGTTATCGGGCTCGCCGAAAGCTGTTTGGAAGTCAAAGCTACTAAAGAATATGAAATGTTTCTACACCAGTGTCCGTTAAGATTCACTTCCTTGAGAGGCAAAAGGTGCCCCACAACATTTCTAAGCTTAGTGACGGACGCGAAAACCCAAAGAACCACTCTCTGACTTCACAGAAGGCAAACGCAGCAGTGTTCATTGTCTTATAGGCATTACGCAGGCCGTAAACAAATGCACGAAACCGAAAAATCGCCTGCATAATCACAGCTTATTCTCAGCCAGAAAAAAACCTTCGGAAGAGCAAAAGGCACGCAATTAAAGACACTGATGGGCTAAAGGCCTAGGCTTTCATTTCAATGGAACAGTTACCCGGTCCTTGACTTTATTGCCGCGACTTTTCTGCGTATGCAAAATTGGTCTTAAAGGAAATACTGAGTTTTGGAAGCTGTAAGCATCCAACAGGCCAAAGCAAAAAGTGATATACAAACCTCGTCATTTGTTGTGGTTGGAAGGGAATTTTCGACCGCAGAAAGGTCCAGCTGGCCCTCATTAATGACTTCCGTCTCATCGTAATAGTCCTTCACTTCATCAGGAGGGACAGGGCTCACGTTATGGCTGAAATTGGTGGGAGACCGGCCTTCCTCAGCAACGATTGAGCGCATGGTGGTTTCAACCTCAGCCACATGACAGTGGTCCAAATTATTGATGGCAGTTAACTCTCCTTCACGTGCGTAATCCTCCTCCAGCCTGCCTTGTCGATCAACATTTCCAAAAAGAAAGGTACAAAGTTTGTAACGCGGACCATCGGCTTCTGCATCGTCTTCCATACCTTGTTGGTTTTATCTCTTCTTTCGCAACGCAGGGATTCCTAAAGGCGGGAGGAAACAAGCAGTAACTTCACTGCCACTTAGGACTTTGGAGGTTTATTGGCAGTGACACAAACGAAAGTACGGTTAGTATACTTAGGTGAGAAGGACAAACTTAGACTGCAGATATTAATAATGCGCATGTTTCGAGAAATGATGGATGCATAAAATGGAGATAAAATAAGAAGCAGGGTTCCACAGTGGTAAACGAATCTAAAGAACTGATCTACAGCTCCTGACCTGCAGGTCATGGGGGCTGAGGGCGAGCAAAGTCTGCATATTCTCGACCATCGCTGCCGCAAAAGAATCTTCGCGGGCGGTAGGACGATCTCAGTTTCAAAAGAGATAATTTGGTCTTACTACGACGATCTAGAGGTAATCTTCCTGACTATATCGGGACGGACAGTCGAGTGGTTTTTAACCCACCTTTTAACGGCAATTAAAGCCTCGTGACAACAACTCGGGACATTAAACCATGCTGACAGCGGAGGTGAAGTCAAAGTTGCCTTCATAACATTTTTGATTCTACACCGCATTGTGCTCCACGCTGGAGACAAAGCCGGTCGAAAGGCGCGCGAAAACTTCCTACAGCCTTCAGAGCACTGAAGGTCCCGGAGAGACATCAACGGAGTCTGCTGACCAGTACAGATAGTGGCAATCAGAAGCGTTATCAAATTCGCGACTCATAACTTATTTCCTGATGATGTCTATGTTAGGGAAAACGATGTATTAATGTTTCACTTGGTGCTATCCTGTGGGATGATACCATTTGAAGTAAAACGTGGTTCTGTGTGACTCCGCTGTTAAGAAGGAGGCTGGCTTGAAACATAGACTGAAAAACTATGGAATTTTGTTATAGGATAAAACAACGTTGAAAAAATACGACTACAAAAGTTGGGCCTATTTCATTTACCCTCATGTTCTGTGTACGGATATAACCGCCGAGTAATGGCAAGTTTACACAGAGGCACTGGCAGACTGCAACTCGGCACTATGTACATCGCCACCCGGCATCTTGTGGAACATATACTGATTTTAAGGGAATTTAGAAGGCATTACAGGTACAGAACTACCTATCTGAGCATATATGTGGATAGTGATTTATGAGCAAGACATACTTCAGGCGCCTGAACAGGCATAAACTCCAAAAAATACTGCTGCGTCTTCGTTCGATGTGCCGAAGGGGAAGAGTGTCAGGCTACATAAGTATATAAAAACCGGAGTAAGCATAAGGATTAGGTGCCTTTTCCTAATGAGGTGCAAGATACTATAAGGTTGCACAGGCAAGTAGCGAACGGTGGAATAGATGAGGGTGAGTTAATAGCGACGTACGAATTGATATGGTGATTTTGTTGCGACGACTACGGCAACCGTTTACAATATCGCTGAAGGGTTATATTTAAATGTCGGGGCTCAAACGTCGAGGCTAACATTTAACGTCAGGACAGTTTAACTTCAATAACGACTCAAGTCATCGCTTTCCGGCTATATATACTCACAAACGGAGGTACCGCATCAACTGTCTATTTGAAAAATCAGCACTTTGTAGCCCCCTCGGGTGGTGGGCGTGTAATCAAAGAATGAGACCGGGTAGTCATGGCGGGGTTAAAAGATAACCGGAAACTGCCGATAATCCCTTAAGTTGCCGCTACGGTTAGAGCCAAATTCAGTCTTCATTGGCGGCTACTGATGTCTGCCCCTGCTGCAATTTTAATTTTGTAGAAAGCTTTGCCGCAGTCTTGTTGTAAAGTAAAAGCTTTGTCACTGAAGACGGCAAAGTACCAGCAGCAAACCGAACCAGCTACACACCGCATCCAAACTCGACTCTGCAAATGCAAAACCCCCTTAGCTAATTTAAACCAGTGTGCGGATAACGTTCACGTTAAATAACCAATACACCACGGTGTAATGTGTAACTTGTCGAACTGGATCGCGAGTGGCCAATAAAGAAAGATGGGAAACAATGAATACAGGGAAAATGTACAAGGTTTAACCTACGTGCAATGGCGACCAGTGGTTCAACTGCTTTCCGTGTGTCCTGTGTGTGTTCTAAATGAGAACCTCTCTCATTCGGGAATCCGTTTACATTTTCCCCAATGACTGCTTATCGCTCTGGTACCCTGGTATTGTTCTGTCCTTTAATTTCTAATTCCGCATCGTATTAAGTTGTTTGACTAAAGTTCTCAAACTTGTTCACTGCATTCGTCGTTTATATTCCCCCAAGAAGCAAGGATTGCTCAAATTCGCTCCCAAGTTTACTAGGGGGCTTGATCTTAACAGTAAAGCTGAGCACTCAGAATAATGAATTAGTTAATAAACCTAGATCGAATCCATCCCGTCCTTGCACCTGACCACTCTGGTCTGATCTTTCGGTCACGCCAAATAAGCCAAATGAGAGGTCTTTACCTGTTCCTATTCCGAATTCTCAACTTAACGCAAACACCTCAGTTGTGAAGCCCACTTACACGCCAGCATATAAAATGCAAGTATATAGCGTTGCTGGTAATTTTTCCAATCCCAACGATAGCCTGAAACCCCAAAAAATAAAGCCTTTTCCGGATGTAACGTGTTCAATTCAATTCAATTCAATTCAATTATTTTTATTAAAGACCCGTCAGGGTCCCATCAAAGCAAGTAAAAATAAATTTACATGCAAATTTTAGACGATGTAGGCAAAATCTGCACAAAGTGCAATGCATAGTTTTTGAGATTAGAAGTCCGTTAAGCAAAATGAAAATGAAAAAAACGAGGGGTGAAAAAAAAAACTCCAAAGCAAAATTTACAAATGATTGTAGTAATTTAACAGGAGAAAAAAAACCCCTCAGAAAAATAGCATCAGAAAAAAAGGGAGGACTGGCCTGC